TTTATATTAAAAATTCCTATGATTATAATAAATATAAATATAGTATATTTCAACTTAACTTGCTAATATATACAGGTTTTTTTTTTTTTTTCTCTGATTTGAGGTTTCTCTCTTTTCACAAACATTTCCTGTAGTGAGGCAAACATCAACTCTTCAAGGTCTCTCATTTCTTTTTTTTTTTTTTTTCCTTGGGTTATGCGGGCCTCTCACTGTTGCGGCCCCTCCCATTTGCGGAGCACAGGCCCCGGACGCGCAGGCCCAGCGGCCACGGCCCACGGGCCCGGCCGCTCCGCGGCACGCGGGATCCCCCCGAAACGGGGCACGAACCCGCGTCTCCTGCACCGGCAGGCGGACTCCCAAGCACTGCGCCACCAGGGAAGCCCTATACAGGTTTTTTATTCAGAAAAAGAGATGTTTTGCCTATAACTGCTGAGTACAATATTCAACAATAAGAAAGAAATGATACTATAACTTGAAAATATTTCATTTAAGAAGTAGTCTGTATTCATATATCGGAAATACTTAGAATGAAATAGAACATCTACATTTTTCTATTTGATTTTCTGGATGGCTCTTTTTTTGTTTTACAAGACAAGGTGTAAATACGGAGATAGGTCTCTCTACCAAAATAGTACTTTATCATACTAAGTATCATAATTTATTCTTAGAAGTAAATATTGAAAATAATCATGGAATTACACATCAGGCTCCCTACTAAACTGCAAGATCCTCACTATTAGAAAATATGTTTTCTATTTGCTATGCACACTGTAAAATACAATGCCTGACTCATCATGAGTAAATTTCTAAATATTTATTAAATGAATGAATACATAGTCTCTAAGGAAAATAATGTGTACGTTTCATCATATATGCTACTTTCTGCTCTAAATAAGGTTTAATGAGCCTTACCTTCCATCTAAGGTTGCCTCTTCTAATGTCTTTGTGGTTATAACTTCATATTTTAAAAAGAGAAGTTCTTAGTGGATAATTAGCAGCAATCAAGAGAAGCTTAAACATGTCGTAAAGGTAAAGTTTCTGTCACGAATAGTTTTCTTTGTAGGAAATATATCTCATGAGACAAGCTAAGGCACAGATCCTGCAGCAGAGCAGTTTTGAGAACCATTTCACTGGGATATTTCTTTCAAGTCAATCTTCTTGGACCAGCCATCCAAACTGAATGCTTGGTATGGTTTCTCTGAAAGGGATGGTCTGTTTTCTGCCATTGAAGCCTGATTGTGCTAATACCTAATAAGTTTCTTATGACTGAGTTTCTAAATGTCTCAACTGAATTGATTTTTACAGTCAGTCCTACTTTTTTCTTTTTACTGCAAATAGGCATAGTCAATGAGGCAATACCAACAATAACTTCACATGCATAAATAATATGATCATTATAGTTGGGTTTAAAAAAAATATTAATCTTATCTTTAGTGGAGTTTGCAAAATCAGGGGGACTTTGAAAAATAAAGCTCACACAATGGAGCCAAATCATGACCTCAATTCTAAATGGTACAGAATTTGCAATCTGTACAGAAATTTAGAGGCATTAACAAAATTACCCAGGGAATTTAGATTAGAGCCCGTTCCTGGATTTCCTGCAATGTTGGCAAACCTTATAAGTTCCTTAAATACAAAGTGAAGGCATAATGTACTTAAGGGGAAGAAATCCAACACAGAGAAAAGAGTGCTAACACAAACAGATGTTTAAATGTGTTAGTTCAACTAAAAAGTTTTCCCTGGGGAATAGTTTACAGTTTACCTACTCTGGGTGATAGGATACCTAATTAAAAAGATGCTTTCAACTTCAGAAATCTTCAGATGTTAATTATTTATTAGAAAGCTATAAAATGCTAACAGTGTAAAAAGCATCACAACACCTGCTCCAGTATTTACTTGTTTATTTAGCTATTTTGAGGAATAAAGTTTACATTATCAGTCTCTCTGGAATTTAGATCAATGGTCCTAGACTTTTATTTTATCAAGTTATTCCCATTTTCTAAATAATAATCAATATTAAGGTATGGGGGTTATGTACTCATTTGGATTTAGTATTAATTGAATAGAAAATTTTAAACTAATTTATCCTAGTTGATTTATATTCCAGTATAAATATAATGGCTAATTTGTAATCTATTAAACTTAATAGTTCAAATAACAATACTCAGATGTAGGTCATCATTTCATTGCCCATTTTGTTCTTTAATCATAATTGAACTTTCTTTTAACTAAATGTTTCTATTTTCATAAAATTGATATTTATGGATATTTTCCAGTCTAGGTTTAATTTTACAACACTCTACTAAATTGAGACTAGTTCGCCTACATAAGGTTAAAGACTACTTGCCCAGATAAAATTAGTTTACATAATACATGTGCAATAATTGTCTATAAATCAAACCATCTAGCAAATGCATTAGGGTATATTTCCAATGATTACTTCTACAAACAACACCATCCACTTTTATAGCCCTTTATAATTTACCAAGTACTTTTACATATCACCATTAATTAAATCACAAAAATAATATTTCATAGATAAGATAATGATACTGAGAGACAGCTGCTAAGACATGACCAAAATCACTTGGTTGGAAATGACAGAGCCCGGAACAGAACTCGAGGCTTCTGGTCCTCATTCAGAGTCATGTTTTTCATACTGATGGATTCTCTTCCAATGTGAAGAACTGTTGCCACACCTATCTTCTAAATTGTCTGAATCTGAATTTCAGTGTATTTGTTTTACTTCCTACCTTTAGTTGAAGCATGTGCAAGTGAACCCATAAATGCCCAGAATTCATGAGATACACCCACAGTTTAACCTCTGCAAGGCCAACAGTACACTGAGAAGGATATAACTAATTCATAATTGCTTTCCTGCCACTGATCAATTTTAAGCCAATGACTGGCCTTGACTTTGGGTAGAGTAAATAGGAGTTATACGAAAACTTTCATTAGAGAATCTGTCTAAAGTTTAACAGAGAAACAGAAATAGATCAAAGAATATTTTAGTTTAAAAGACCTTTGACTTTTCCAGTAACTCTACAAATATTTAAATAGTTACTCAAGTAGATTCTAGACAAATTTTAAAGATTACCACTAATTGTATATATAAATACACATTTATATAAAGTGGTGTGTGTATATATGTATATATACAAATATAAATATATACAAAATGACCCATAGTAACCTTAATTGAATATATAAACTCAAGAACAACTTTGCTGCCATAAATTATAAATATGAGCTTTTATACTGCAAGAAAATGTTCCTCTAGGGATAATGTCCAATGATAACAAAGTTTTATAACTTTTAAAACTGATAAGGTACCTTAAATGGCCCCCCTCTACCATCACAGGATGATTAGTGTAACTACCAGAAACTAAAGTCTAAACTTAGCATTAATATGTATTTTAACCTAATGTAGAAAACCAGAAAATTAATACCAATCAGCCACAGTACAGGCAATACTGAGGACTGTGTGGAGTTTGATGTTAAAACTGGTTTTGTGTAATTTCCTCAGCAAATCTTAGCAGAGGCACTGCTGGCATTTGACCACAGGATGTAAGTCTATGTCCCTCCAAGGAACAGAGGAAACAAAAGCAAACTATATAGAGAAGAAAATGTGAATATCTTTATACAGCTTTGAAAATAATACAATTTTATCAGTCAAAATGAATAACAGTAATTAGTTAATTAGTTCTAGCCCAAATTTTTAATCTTCATAGGTTCTCAAGGCAAAAGAAATTATTTTATTCCTTTTGCTTTTTAGGTGACTACAAGACCAACCAATCAAATTCTTCCCCTGCACTATCTACTTACTGATATTTGTTGATTTAATCCTTCAGATATCCTGTATGATATCAAATACTAAATTGGTTTTACTTAAGTTACTTTCTTGGGAGAAAGAGGAGAATTATATAGATTACACTTTTTAAAAAAAAGTAACCTAACAATTTTGCAGAAAAAGTCAATCTCAAATTACTTCACATTTTTTGTTTAAAAAATATTTAAAGCTTTGTTTTAAAGTAAATTATTCTAGTAGATAAAAATGTACTTTGTTATACAAAAATGACAATTAATGGCATATGTACTATCTCATATCATTATGATAACTTAGTGTCATTGAAGTTGTGAACTAAAATTCATTTTATGGCAAGACAAGAAAATTCAAACAAAAATTTTACTCTGCCCTTTGGCCTCCTCTCTCCCCTCACTGTGCCTTGTGTATCTGTATTATGCATCGACCAAACCTTCCCCATAGGCAGAAATACCTGCTG